GGATTGCTTGATTATTTCTTCGAATGGTCATATGCTGGTGAAGCACGGGTTGCTCGATGTGTTAGATCTGATTTTAATGATGAAAATAATATATTTGGTCTTTGTATAGGAACTCATGGATAGCATTCAAGATTGAAGAAATCAATCAGCAATGATCAAGGAACGCATGGATTGGCATACAAGATTGAAGGAATCAATCAGAGGCAATCAAGGAAAGCAGGCGTGATTAAAGGAAGAAATTGATACTGACGGAATCAATCAAGGCTAAATAAAGGAATCAAATAAATCAAGTATATCGAATATCTTGCATAATATTCAATCAAGTGTCTAAATCTGGAAGGATCAAGATTCCGAGATCGCACACAAGGAAAACTCTTTTAAAGCCTCTCGTCAGTTAAAGCCGTTGCGGAATAACCTTATTCTTGGAAAGAATCAATCTCTTTCCAAGGATCAAATCATGGGTTGGCAAATCTCTCCAGAATTCAAGCCTCTCTCAAAGTATTAAACTTGTAATCACACCTTAGCACATATACTTTGATCGAACCAAACACCATCTCTTTGTTCTACTACAAACAAACATTGTAGCTCTACTAAGACATGCTGTGTAAGAAAAACACTGGTAAGGCATTGTATCAAAAGAAACGAGTGATATAGGAACTGAGCTATCGGCGTAGATCACACCATTCTCTTTGTACTCGAAGAAACTCATTCACTGAAAAGAACTCCCCTGCAACCCAAGGGGACTGGACTAGGATTCATATAGAATCCGAACCAGTATAAAAATTCTGGCATCTTTAATTCTTGTATTTAATTTCAGCATCTTAAATTCTGTCGTTACTGTTATCAAATTATTACATCTAGTCGACTAATTGAAAACTAGTCAACTAATAGCAATTAAGTTTAAAAATAAACAATTCACCCCCCCCCCTTATACTTTCAATTGGTATCAGAGCAAGGCTCACATTTTTCTTTTGCTTAACAGCTTGTGAGAAAAGATCATGGCAAACCAAGTTATCATAGGAGCACTCTTCCAGGAAGGAACTTCGCAAGTAAGGCCACCATACTTTAATGGACAACATTTCTCCCACTGGAAAGTGCGTATAGAAATATATGCAAAGGCGTATGACGTTAAAGTTTGTAGAGTTATCAAAAAGGGGAACTATCCTCTGCTAGCTGCCGCTCAACCACTTGCTGATCCTGAAGATATAGATTGATATACAGATGAGCAAATGGCAGTGGTACAAGTCAATGATAAGGCGAGAAACTTGCTCTATAATGCTATAAGTGGTGAAGAGTATGAGAAAATCTCCAGTTGTGACACAACCAACAAAGAAATGTGGGACAAGCTTGAAGTTACATACGATGGAACCAGTAAGGTAAAGGAAACACATATCAACATGTTGGTTCATGATTACGAACTCTTCCAAATGAAAGAAGGAGAGTCTATTGAAGAGATGTTTGCCAGATTCAGCAAAATAATTAGCGATCTAAAAGCCTTCGGCAAACCATATTCAAGTGGTGATCAAGTTAGAAAGATTCTTAGAAGCCTAGTAGTCACACTTGAATCTCAGGATCTGAATAAGTTATCTTATGATGAACTTCGAGGAGAACTCATAGCCTTTGAAAAGACACATCTTAAGAAAACCAACCAAGAAGAAAAGAAGAAAACAATCGCATTTAAGGCCAAAACTGAGATAGCTGAAAATAATATCGATGATGATCCTGAAGCCCTTCAAGAAGAGATTGCTATGATGTCAAGAAACATGGACGGTTTAATGAGAAGATTCAGGAATACGATGAGAGGAAGGATTCCACCTAGGCGATCCAGGCAATATAACGAACAAGATAAGAATGATGGGAAATGCTATGAGTGTGGAAGATTTGTACACATTCAAGCTGAGTGCCCAGATCTGAAAAGGAAAATCTCCAGAGTCTTTAACAAGAACAAATCATTTGGAAGTTGGAGTGATGAAGACAGTTCAGAACACGAAGAGATAGCAAATCTTTGCTTCATGACGATTCTAGAAAACGACATGAACAAATCTTCAAGATGCTGGACAGACAAGGACACTTCAGACGACGAATGCAAAGATAACAATGAGAACTGTTTCATGGCACGAGGTGAAACAAGCGAGGTAAGATCTTATAACTGTGAAAGATGCAATGAGTTGAAGGATATTCTTTATTTGACTTTGAAAGAGTCTCAAAAAATGATGAATGAGCTTAAGAGACTCAATAAAGAAGTAAAAGACTGGAAGCTCAAACATGAAGTATGTGAAATCGAAAAAGAAGTACTTAAAGAAGAGTTTGAGGAATTGCAAATGCAACTCAATGGCATGCGCAAATCCACCAGTCATAGTTCTATCAGGTCAAACCGGGCGACTTACAAGTCAATTGGAGAAGGACTAGTTAGAAATGAGTCCACTAGTACTAACACTAATGAAAGACCTAAAAATGGGTCAGGAGTTACGTGTCACTACTGCAATAAAAGTGGACATAAATATTCTATTTGTCGTTTTCGTAAATCAAATATTTCAGGATGGATTTGGAAACCCAAAAACAATTCTGAACCTAGTAATACTAACCCACCAGGACCCAAGCAAGCTTAGGTACCTAAAAGAAAGTAATCACTATGTTTTGTAGGAACAACACAGGAGAAGCCGCAAAGGAAAATGCTATTTAGACAGTGCGTGTTCCAGTCACATGACAGGTGATAAAAATCTATTCAAGGAAGTTACAAAAATAGATGGAGGAAGCGTTAAGTTTGGCGATGACTCAAAAAGAAAAATAATCGATACTAGAACGATTCCTTTTAATAACAACTGCGATATTACTGAAGTTTATCTTGTCGATGGACTTAACTACAATCTTCTGAGTATATGTCAGCTATGCGACTCAGGGTATGAGGTAAATTTTAAGAAAACAGGCTGTGCAATTGAAGATGAGATAGGTAAAAGAATCCTCCCAGGTAAAAATATGGAAATGTTTATATTCTTGACGGCTTTGAAAATATAGATGGTCATATCTTTTTAACATCCATATCTGATGATCCTTGGTTATGGCATAGGAAACTTGGTCATGCAAGCATGTATTTGATAGAAAAATTGTCTAAGCATGAGTTGGTCATTGGTTTACCTAAACTGAATTTCTCTAGAAATCATATTTGTGACGCCTGTCAAATAGGAAACCAAACTAGAAACTCTTTCAAAAACAAAGATATTGTATCTACTTCTAAACCTTTGCAACTGCTTCACATGGATTTATTTGGGCCTACTAGAACTGCTAGTATAGGAGGAAAACAATATGCTTTTGTTATTATTGATGATTACTCACGTTTCACTTGGGTGATTTTCTTATCTCATAAAGATGAAGCGTTGAAAAATTTTGAGATTTTCTGTAAGAAGGTTGAAAGAGAAAAGGGGTATCTGATTGCAACAATCTAGAGTGATCATGGAGGAGAATTTGAAAGCAGAGCATTTGAAGACTTCTGTAATGATCAGGGATATACTCATAACTGCTCTGCACCACGATCACCCCAACAGAATGGAGTTGTTGAAAGGAAAAACAGAACCCTACAAGATATGGCAAGAACCATTTTACTAGATCATTCACTACCAAATCATTTCTGGGCAGAAGGAGTAAGTACAGCATGTCACATTCTCAACCAACGCCTCATAAGGCCCGTTCTGAAGAAAACTCCTTATGAACTATGGAAAGGTAAACGTCCTAATATCAGTTATTTTCATCTCTTTGGGAGTAAGTGCTTTATCCACAATAACGGTAAGGACAATCTTGGAAAATTCGATCTAAGAAGTGATGAAGGTATTTTTCTGGGCTATTCATTAAATAGTAGATCCTTTAGAGCCTATAATAAACGCACATTATGTGTGGAAGAATCTGTACATGTTATATTTGATGAAAATAACTCCTCGACCGAGAAAGGAATTACTGTAGGTGATGAATATCAAGTTCAAGAAATTCAGGAGACAAGCAAATCTCAAAAGTCGTCTGATGGATCCGATGCTGCGATAGAGTCAACTAATGAAACCAACAATGATATACCAGAACATCCGAAGGAGTCAACTACTCATACAGTTCGTCCAAATGAATGGCGAAGTGAACCTGAATATATTCAAAAATTCATCATAGGGGATCCAAACAAAGGAATGAAAACCAGGGGAGCTCTCAAAAAGAAAGCAAACATAGCACTAATCTCTCAGATTGAGCCAAAGAAGATAGAGGAAGCTCTAAAAGACTCAAGTTGGATGCAAGCGATGTAGGAAGAGTTAGATCAATTTGGCAACAATCAAGTATGGAAACTGATATCCAAACCTAAAAATGTTCCTGTAATTGGAACAAAGTGGGTTTTCAGAAATAAATTGAATGAGGATGGAAAGGTTGTAAGGAACAAAGCCAGATTAGTCGCTCAAGGATATTCACAACAGGAAGGAGTCGACTATGACGAAATATTTACTCTGGTTGCTCGACTGGAGTCTATATGAATCCTTCTGGCATATGCATCCTTTAAGGGATTCAGGCTATTTCAAATGGACGTCAAAAGTGCCTTCTTGAATGGTTTTATTGAAGAAGAAGTATACGTGAAGCAACCTCCTGGGTTTGCAGATTCAAAGTTTCCCTATCATGTATATAAGCTAACCAAAGCGCTGTATGGACTAAAGCAAGCTCCACGAGCATGGTATGAAAGACTCAGTTCAATTCTTATTGATCATGGTTTTACAAGAGGTAAAGTAGACACTACTCTATTTATTAAAAGATCATCAGAAGGTAATCTCATTATTCAGATTTATGTTAATGATATTATATTTGGTAGTGCTAATCCTCTTATGTGCAAGGAATTTTCAAATCTTATGCAAAGTGAGTTCGAAATGAGCAAGATGGGAGAGCTAACGTTCTTCCTTGGACTTCAAATCCAACAATCTGAAGAAGGAACGTTTATATGTTAGACCAAATACACAAAGGAATTGATTCAAAAATTTGGCATGAGTAATGCTAAAGCCATCGTCACACCAACGAGTCCTTCAACGAGCGTCGACAAAGACGAACAAGGAATCCCTGTTGATGAAACTAAGTATCGTGGAACGATTGGCTCACTTCTTTATCTAACTGCCAGTCAATCGGATATTATGTTTAGTGTCTGTAAATGTGCCAGGTTTCAGTCAGCTCCTAAGGAATCACATCTGACTGCAGTAAAAAGAATAATTCGATATCTTATTGGAACTGATTCTCATGGACTATGTTATGCTCGCTCTAACACGTTTAAATTAGAAGGTTTTTCAGATGCCGATCTTGCAGGTGATAAGGAAGACAGAAAAAGCACAAGTGGAATATGTCAATTACTTGGTAAAGCATTGATTTCCTGGAACAGTAAAAAACAAGCATCAGTAGCATTATCTACTACTGAAGTTGAATACATCGCTATCGAACAATGATGTGCACAATTATTGTAGATGTCCCATCAACTTGGTGACTATGAACTTTCTTTTAAACCTATACCAATTTCCTGTGATAATTCTAGTGCTATATGTCTCTCTAAAAATCCTGCACATCACTCTAGGGCAAAGCATATAGACATGAAGCATCACTTCATTAGAGATCATATCCTTAATGGAAATATAGAAATATCTTTTGCTGGAACAACGGATCAATTAGCGGATATTTTTACCAAGCCTTTATTAGAAGAGAGATTTTGTTTACTAAGAGAATTACTTGGAATTATTTGCATTAATAGTTAATATTAGGACCTATGTGCAATTATTTTATTTTGTATGTCAAATGTTCCATATCTTTTCTTACTCATTAATTACGCCTCCGATTTCCCTCCTTTTTCCTCTCTTTTCACATCAGTCGCAGAGTTCAAAGAAGGAAAGCCAATCATCGCGTCTGATCAACTGACGCCTTTTCCTTTCCTGTACTCAACCGTCAGAAACCCTCTTTTTATGCTGAACTTTCTTTTCAATCTCCATCCTCTCTATCGCCTAAAAAACCCTTCTCCGAAAACCTGCTCAACCAAAACACTTCTTCAATGGCCAAACAACCCAAAAATCCCTCTGCCTCCACTAGGAAGAGCACTCGCTCCAGGGCAAAACCCCTTCTCAGCCCCTTGAACAAGTAGACCTAGGGTCCAATAATTCTCAGGGGTTTGCCTCCTCTCAGGCGGACTTCTCTAACCATTCTCAACCCTTAGTAGAAAAAGCACTGGGAAAAAGACCCATGGATGAACCCCCTGTCTCCTCCACTCCAAAGAAATCAAAATTCGACCTTTCCAGTTCTCTTGAGTTGGAACTAAATTTCTGGGACTTTCCAAATAGGGACTTCTTTGTTGCCCTAAAAGACAAGCCTATTGCACATGGGAGGGTAGTCGACCTTGATGACATGAAAGCCCTGAATTGTAAGGTAAAGGATCTTTTCGTCTATCAAGGGTGGTCGAAGTTCTTCTCTATTCCTCCACCTAAAGTCTATGAACCCCTAGTGAGAATGTTCTATGCTAATCTTCGCTCAAGTAAGTCTGATAAGTTGGAGTCCTTAGTGTTAGGAAAGCTTATTGTTCTTGATTGTGCCATGTTTGATTCGATTTTCAGTGCAAGTGTTCTGGTTTCCCTAGGCTTTTTAAGAATTCCTCGCCCAATGATTTTGAAATTTCCCTTGATCAAGCAAAGAGATGTATTGCTGAGTGTCCATCTGAATCCCTTCCAAACCAGCTAGGCCCTAGTGATGTTAGTTTGAAAATCGTGTTCTAGCCCACATTGTTGCAACCACTCTGCTTCCCCGTACTGGCTCTTTTTCCACCTTCTCTCTAAGAGACACTTTTCTGGTCTATTGCCTTGTGACCAAACTCAAAATCAGACTGTCCTCCTGGGTCATCAATTTTATGATTGAGAGTGCAGAAGATCCCTCTAGTCTACCCTATGGTATGGCCATCACTCACATTCTGGAAGCTCACAATATTTCCATATCTGCATATCCTTTACCTCTGTTTCAAAATCTTACAACTCCAGAGCTTTTGCAAGTATGGGGTATGTGTGTGTGAAAGGTTCATGGGTCAAGAAACAAGATAGAGATATCAAGACTGCTCATACAGACTCCCAACCCTAACCTTCTGCTTCTCTTCCTAGCCATAGTGATCCTGACCTTGCTGAGAAACTTAGTGCCATTGACAATCAGCTCTGTAGACATGTCATATTTGACCCTCCCCAAGATTTTACACTTTTTTAGCGTAAATATTTAGTTTAGGTTTAATATCGCTATTTTAAATAGTTTTGACTCTTTTAGCTTATCTTATCACAAAAATGAAAATTATAAAAATATTTTCTTTTATTTAGCTAATTAGTATTTTATCTAGTTACTTTTAATTTATCTACTTTACATAAAATTCAAAACTACAAAAATAGTTCCACTTTGTTTTTAGGAATATTATTTTGATTTTTGCAATGATTTTAATCTAATTCCATTTTTATCTTTTAGTATGATATTTGAAAAATACCAAAAAAATAGGTTTGTTTTAACGATTAGTCTTATTTGAATAGTTATTTTACTTAAGTAGGATTAATTAGTAAATGAGGTAGTATTTTAGTCTTGTTCACGGAGAAAGAATAAAATTTGGGCTCAAACAACCCATTTTTTAGGACTAATTTTCGGATCTAGCCCATAATAACCCAAGTCCAATACCCCTAAAACCCTAGACCTAGACATTAAAAGAACCCTAGAGTCTAAGTTTGGATCAGCTGTTTCTGAAAGAAAACACCTAAACACATACAAAACCTTCCAACTCCTTCATCTTCCTTATGAAAACCCTAGAGAAGAACAACCACCCCAGAGCAGCCTAATGCCACCAGCACAAACAACACCAGCCGTCACCCCCGCCAAGAGACCCCTCACCTCCGATCTTCTTCTTCAACCTACAACAGCCGTTGCTTCTTCTTCTTCGCACAGAACAGACATGAACGACACTCCCTTAGCCACTAACCTCCAAAACCACGACAACCCTTCTGCTTCTTCCCATTAACGAAGCTCGCTAGAAACCAGAAAGCAGCCGCTGCTGTTCTTTCACCTCACCCAGACCACCAGCAGCCGATCTGGCGGTAACACTCAAGTGATGCTTTTGTTGTTGCGAGTCCGCAGAGTGGCATTGCTGGTTGTGTTTGTGCATAAGAATAAGTCAAAATTCCGTCTGGGTCTGGATCTGACTGGTGACCTCCATTAACGCAGACAAAATCACGTTTTTGTCTCTCGTCGCCGAAATCACCGTTTCTCGCACCCTTACACAGTACAAAGATCCTCCAACTAACTGTTTTTCTGTTCTATTGCCGTTTGGCATTTTTGCCTTTTGTTTTTATTTCGAGACCTTGCCGGAGATGTCAGTGTCTGTGGTTGTTGCTTGAAATCCTGTCCGAAAGTTCCGTCTGTTGGTTCCAGTCGAGGTGCCATTTGTTGTCGACGTTTCTTAGTGTGTATTTGCTGTTGGATACCTAATCAGAAAGATCTTATCAAGGTCCATTTCTATTTCACCTCTCATTCATATCTAGTTGTGATCATTAAGCGTTATTTAGATGACCTGGATATGAGTTTTCTTTTAATTGTAATTAGTTGTTTATCCGTGTGGTTTTTGCTCCTATTGTTTTTATGCGCTGGTTCATCATGTTAGTAACTACATATTATCATGTTTGGCCTCTCTTGTTCATCGAGCTCTTGGTAGATTCCTATGATTCTGACTCGGCTTGTTTGCAATTGAAATGCTCATTTACGGAAGATAAAAGTATAAATTGCATTTGGTCATTTGTTATAACTTGGATAATAAAATCACAGACTTAAGTCCATAGTGCTTTTCTTTTATATATTCAAGCCTTACAATAATCTCAAACTAGTCTCAAGAAAAATAGCTTATAAATACTTGTAGTTTGCTTTAGGCGCGCTATAATAAAAATCATCACAGCTACGGGTACGGTTCCCGTGACGTAGTTGTGATGCATAATTTTCAAATCAGGGGGTACATCTTAGGTGACCCGGCCAGTACTTTTAATAATGTTAATAAATTAAACATGTTGTAGATCGTGGGTACGGTTCCCGTGACACGATTCGTAATTTGTACTAAACAAACAAGTGTACGACAATCGTAACTTGTTCCAGAATAATTCCATAAATAATTAGAAGTGGTTAAAGGTTAAAAAATTCACATAGGTTTTAAATCTTGTAATTAATCAGATAATTAGGCCAATTATTAATAGTTAAGCGACCGTGCTAAAACCACGGAACCCGGGAATGCCTAACACCTTCTCCCGGGTTAACAGAATTCCTTACCCGGATTTCTATGTTTCGCGGACCGTAAAAATAGAGTCATCTTCCTCGATTCGGGATTTTAAACCGGTGACTTGGGACACCATAAATTATCCCAACTGGCGACTCTGAATTTGAATAAATAATCCCGTTTCGGTTATTGTCACTTTAATTGGAAAAACTCCCTTATATACCCTTTTCGGGGTAGAAAAAGGAGGTGTGACAGCTCTGGCGACTCTGCTGGGGACATGAACCCAGAACTTCTGGTTCAGGGTTCAAGAATTCGAGCTTAGAATAATTGTTATATTTGGCTTTTATTTATTATCTGGTTTTATTACATGTTTGGGCCTAATGTGCTAAATGCCGCTTTTTACCGCTTTGATATTATTTGAACTGTATATAAACTGCTGCGAAACCCTTCTCTTCTCATCTTCGGGGAAGTGCACGCTGGCATGACTTCTTTTCTGTTAGTGTCATACCCTAATTTAGAATGAGATTCGGACAAGTTACAAAGCCGGATGGCCTTTTGGTTCCCGGTACATAGCCCACCCGTCTCGAGTTGTCGGCTCGGGTAAACTAAGTCTAGAACAATACAACTAGGTTTTAAACCTGGAATAACTCATCCTCATGCCGGATCCCTAGTAGGAACGCTTATTTGCATCATGTGCATTTGACTTTGGGTACTTAACACAGGGGTTAGGTCCGTCTAGGACAGGTGTATCCCAAAAATAAAAGACCATCCTGATGCATCCTATGTGCTACTTGTTGCAATCTTCAAGGGTAAAAGGGTCATTTGGCAGACTAATGAAGGTTGATGGTAGATGAGAAAGAAAAGAGGGTGAAGTGTAAAACTAAAGCAAGTAGGACCCGGTTATATTTTTCTTTCACATTTTTTTATGAAAAAAAGACATGAAAAATCCAAAAAAAAAAAAGATTTTGCACTTTCCCACCATTTTCCAAAAAAAAAAAAAATCAAAGAAAAAGAAAAAGAAAATCCTAAAAGATTTTACATTTTTCATCATCTTTCAAAAAAAAAAAAGAAGACAAAAAAAATTTACTTTCTCTAAATTATTTGTTAATTTTTAATTCTCGCCCGTATCCAATCTTCCCGAACTACGGATACCTGATTCTCGTCTTTCGTGGCGTGATACGTAGGCAA